CCCCACCCCGGCCAGCCGCTCCCCCAGCCCACACCAGAGGGAGGGAGAGAAGAAGGGAGGGAACAGGAGGGCGCCAGTGAGCGAGGGAGTCGGAGCAAGGCGCGAGCAGCCACCGGTTCGCTTGGAAACGGTTGCCACAGCAACGGGGTTGCGCTCCCCGGCAACGCTGCTGCGGGGCGGCGACGCCCCCTCCCACCCATCCCCCACCCCACGCGGGGCTTCAGCCCCCGAGTGCAGGGGGAGAGGGGATGCGGGGACTCCTCCTCTCGCCGTGGGGGATCGTCACCCCTCTAGCCCATCTGAGTGTGCCTGCCTCCACAGCCCGTCGATGGTGGGGGCGGGGGGCGAGAACCCGGTGGGCACGATCTGGCTCCCACGTGGCTACAGTCGTCGCAGCAGGGCTCCTGGGGTGGCTGAAAACGTGGGGGCGCCCTGGCCTGGGGCAGCAGGAGGTGCCATGGTGGCAGGGTCTGGGGTCTGTGCCCTGCCACCCCCACCGTCAGTACACCACCAGCCTGGCAAATGGCCCCACCCGAGTTGGGTGCCCCAAAGGTGATGTTCCTTACCAGGGAAGAGGAAAGAAGCTCGCATCCCTCCTCCTCGTGGCCAGAGCATGTGCCAAACGCGGCTTGGGCCTGTGGCGGGTCTCTGCTCCGTTTTCCAAGTCACCATTCTCCAGGGAGGGGTGGGAGCAACATGGGCAGGGGCAGAGGAAAGGACATTGCTGACCTGGGGAAGCTGAAGCTGGACCAGATGGGAGCTCCCCAGCCCATTGTCTGGATCACAAGTGTCCCTTTCTTGTCTGAGCACAAAAACCCAGGCTGTGCTGGGTGGCATGCAGGTTGGCGGACAGGCAGGCCAGCGCCACATGGAGATGTTCTGACCTCCAGGAGAGCTCTGGGAGAATGGCCGCTGAGTCAGAGTAAATGACCTCTGGCTCCCCTCCCAACCTCCCCTCAGTGGGCAGCCTGCTGGGGAATAGCCCTCCGACCAGCTCTCCGGGGCCTGACTCAGCAGATGCCAGCCCCTACCGACCACAGGCCTTGACCACGAACACCATTGGCTTTCTTTTCCCATCCAGAGAGGCGTCCTGGGCACCAGAGGTGACCATTACCCCGGGCATTTGTGGCCTTGGCATAGATTCCCATAGATGAGTAGTGGCCCAAGTCAGGCCCCAGTCTCCCTGCCACAGGCAGCTATGCCTTTGGGATTATTCACAGGCCCCTTACATTCTCTTCCTGCTCTGTGTAAGGGCTCCGCATCCATTATCTCC